GCAGGAGAGCACTACTCCCACTTACTAAAAAAATACAAATATGTAAATCCAATGTGTCTTGAACATCTCCTACATGGGAGACATAGTGCCATGTGCTGCACTTACTTTTTCCAAGTTCTTGCAACCATCCCGAAACGTGGGTGTCATTGCTCCAATTTAATAAATCAGGAAACCACAGTTTCAAGAACTTAATCAAGTAAGCCGACGTCACAAAGCTAGATTCGGCAATAAACAAGATGAAGTTGAAAAACAAGTTGATTACAGAAAGAAGAGTCCTGGCCTAGGTTTGAACTGGCCACAGGACTTAAAGCCGCCACCTTCTCCTACCAGGTGCGGTGGACTCTCTGAGGCACTGGCTAGCAGAAAAGGGCTAAGACATGAGGTTTGAACAGTGATGCTGTGACCTCTTCAGCTTGGGGGCAAGACTGGGCAGGATCAGCCTGGCCTGGAACATTTCTGTACATTCAGGCCACGACACTGGAATCTCTGAAGGGTCACTTGCTTCCTTGGTTGCCCATCTGCAAAGAAGGGCACTCGTCGCTGCCTGCTTGTTCAGGTGATGAGGTGCTTGCCCTGTGAATTAACAAGGTTTATAAGTCACTGTGCGCGCCGCTGAGAAAGGTGCCGTTCCATCCGAAGCGCTGTTTGACTGTTGCTCTTTTTGCTTTTGTTATGCAGCCGGTATTATTAAAATATAGTCTGAAACGTCAGCTTAAATTAAAAGATCCTTTCAATGGATCATTTAAAATGCCCATTGTCTTGATTTCTGGAGAAACTTGTTTGTGCCACAAAATCTCTTAAAGTAAAAAAAAAGAAAAGAAAAGAAAAAACAGAAGTAAACTCAAGTCGACTTGGTGAAATAAAAGAGAATGTCTTTTCATACGGCCATGCTTAGGGTTGGCCGCTTTTAAGATGTTTCAAGGGATTTTCTTTCTTTCTTTTTTTTCCTTCTTCCCAAACTACCTTCTTTGTTTAGGGATCCCTATTTGCCCTCCTGCCTTTTCTACAGTGTCACTTATTGTTTTGCGGAGACTCACTGAATGTGAGGACACAAAGGGACAATGAGGCTGTTACCCGAGGCAAGAAGCCACCTGCATGCATTTAGAGAGGCTCCTTCTCATATGTCCTGCAGTTTGTACCAAAGGCATTAACAAGGAGAGCCACCAGCAGCTCCCTTACTCAGGGGGAGCGGGGAGGGGGTTAGCCCATCAGTGTGTTACTCAGTGTCCCTTACTCAGGGGAACGGGAGGGGGTTAGCCCATCAGTGTGTCACTCAGTGTCCCTTACTCAGGGGAACGGGGAAGGGGTTAGCCCATCAGTGTGTCACTTAGTGTGTTACTCAGGGGGAGCGGGGAGGGGGTTAGCCCATCAGTGTGTTACTTAGTGTGTTACTCAGGAGAAACGGGGAGGGGGTTAGCCCATCAGTGTGTTACTCAGTGTCCCTTACTCAGGAGAAACGGGGAGGGGGTTAGCCCATCAGTGTGTTACTCAGTGTGTTACTCAGGAGGAACGGGGAGGGAGTTAGCCCATCAGTGTGTTACTTAGAACGGGGAGGGGGTTAGCCCATCAGTGTGTTACTCAGTGTCCCTTACTCAGGAGAAACGGGGAGGGGGTTAGCCCATCAGTGTGTTACTCAGTGCCCCTTACTCAGGGGGAACGGGGAGGGAGTTAGCCCATCAGTGTGTCACTCAGTGTCCCTTACTCAGGGGAACGGGGAGGGGGTTAGCCCATCAGTGTGTCACTCAGTGTGTTACTCAGGAGGAACGGGGAGGGAGTTAGCC